GTCTCAAATAAAAGCATGAGACTTCCTGACTAAATTGTACCAATTAATCAAATCATGACCTTACATCAAACATTCAGTGAGTGATGGTACATAGCTGTATGAGAACACTGTGACTTAGTTGGGGAAAAGAGCAAATTCTTCAGCTGTCATATGAAGTGGCCACAATGCCATAAAGGTAGCTCATGTGGGTGAAAGGGGGGGTCACACAAAATGGGTCTCCATCCCTTCTTATATCTACCCTCCCTCTAAAAAGGTGATTCTTAGCAAGTCATACTATGAAAGAGAGGCATTGTATGTCCCCACTAATATGTGCATGTATACACACACACACACTGTACTCTATGGCAGAAACTAAAAGATTGGAAGGCATAATAGGGAGGGCAACTAAACAGTGTGGAGGAGGGTGAACAATGGGGGGAAGGGAGGGAATAAAGGGGGAAACAAGCAAAACATTTAATAGACAAAAGGTATAAAATTATTTGTTGATCATAATATGTATGGTAATATCTTTGACTGGACTGGTCCAGAAAGTCCATTTTGTATGTTGTAAGGCACACGGTAATTAAATAAAAACAAAAAACAATTAATTAAAAAAATTTAAAAGAACTTTTGTGGCCATCAGAATCCCCTGGAGGGCTTGTGTCAGATTCTGTTGATCTGGGACAAGGTCCGAGAATTTGACAAGTTCCAACGTGATACTGATGCTGCTAATCTTGTGACTGTTGCTTGGAGAGCCACTGCTTTAATATTTGTACTCTTGAGCCAGTCCTGTGTAGCTTTCAGGGCATGGCAGAATGCCAAACTGATGCTGAATACCTCATTCACCTGGGAGTGTGTTGAGCTTCTTTGAGGTTAACAACTTGAGTCTGCAGAATGGGTTACACAGTTTCAGCAAAACCTTGCATTTCTTTTTGACTCCTGAAAACACTGACTCTCTCCCTACCAACCCTTTTGCAAAAGGGGCTGGACCAGAAGCCATGAGGCAGAGGAAAACCATCTCTTGGGCCAGGGCTGTCATGAGCAGGCCCACATGAGGTACAATGCCACAAGTGTCCTGGCTATTTGTGCTACTTGAGCTCCTTCATGGCAAGGCCATTACAATGAGCCTGATCCCTGTCCTCTTGTGATGATGCTGAATGTTAGGTTTCCCTCTGATCCTGAAATATGTGACCACAATGATACAGAAGGTCCATGTGTTAAACCAGCCCAGGACCTTCAAATAAACAAAAGTATGTGTAGCGTTCCATTGCCATGCAGCCCTGGACCAGGTCAAATCAAAGTGATACCTGCAAATGAAATAAACAAACTAAGGAAAACATGTTGCTTAGTTCCTGGGATATCAGAAATTAGAGCCTAGCCCCCATACCAGAAAAAAAGTTTGTAAGTGAAACTAAAGGTGAAAAGCTTACTTGTACTCTGAAGAGCTTGTTTTGCAGAATAAATTTCAGATGAGGATAATTAAACCACTTCTTGGAAAACCGAGTCTGATTTCACTGGGCCTTTTAGTATATAAGATCTTTCATCAAGTGACTTTCATGGTCCTGATTGGAGCCCACTAATTATCCTAACCAGCTATTTTCATCGAGTGTGCGTCGTGGTGTGCTGACGTGCACATACATCCTAGCTCTGCATCCAGAAATGCTGCAATCAATATTAATGTTCTCTCAATCACACTTCCATCTGTTTCTGAATTAATAAAACACAAAATAGATGTCCTTATTTTCCTCTCTCTCTCTCTCTCTCTCTTTCTTTTAGCAAAATGCTTCAAAAGTTGCTCAGATACCATCTCCAAGGGTAGGCAATGGAAAGTAAGTATTTTATGAAAATTGCTTTTTCATGAACATCGGTGATTTAATAGACTCCAAATATTTTGCATTGATTATTCAGGAGTGAAGGTCAATTCTGAGACAACTATAATTTCATGCACACAAAATTCTAGCCAGGTTTCAGCTAACGGCAAGACAGGGAAGTTTAAAATGATGTGGTTCCAAATTCTTTAACTATATTTGATCTTTAAGCCAAATTATAGCCATAAAAATATCCTCTAGTGAGATGGCAAGCACCAAGCCATTTCAGGGAGGCAGGGTAAAGTTAACTCCACTGTGCTGATTTGTCAATGAGTCATTCAGTAATGAAAGACCAATGAAATATTCATTGATATATGGTAAGTGCTGTTTAATAAAACCAAAGGCATAATAGTACTAAAAATGTGAAGGCATGCAGTCAGCCAATTATCTGAGCCTTCATGATGATTTTTATATTAATACTAAAATACCTTGACCTAAAGTATAAACTCATCTACTCTAATGCTGATCTGAGGCTCAGTGAGCTCACCCATGCCTGTAGCCTTATTTAGAGCTCTTTGCCTGGGGGAGCTTGGTCTCTATAGCAGTGGAGTGGCAGGCTAGAAACTTTGACTTGGTTGTAGGCTGCCCTTGGCTGGCAGGGTAAGCTAAGTGGACCTCTTTTTCTCTGTTTTGTTTCTTTGTTTCTAAAATAAAGGGGCTGTACCCGATGCTCTCTGGGGCCCACTAAAGAGTGGTTTCTTATAGAAGGTGATTTTGAATCCCAGTTCTGTCTCAGCCCTGAACTAGTTCTAGGGGCCTTTGTTAACTTGCCTGAGTAACAACTTCTCCCCTGATTCCAAAACCTCCCTCAGTACCCCAAGCCAGTTGCCCACTAGTAATAGGAAGGGAAATCGAATGAGTGGGGGCATATATTTCACAAGGATCCTGTTTTATATAGCATCAAGCTGCTTTTTCAGTATTTCTTCCTTCCAACGTCTTGTGTCTCTGATCAAAATACTTTCTTCAAGAGTAAAATAGGCACCACCTCCACTTTATAAATATCTACAAAGCATACTCCAAAAGCAGTGGGACAATGAACTCTACCTTGAGATCATAAAAACATTGAGAGCAAGGGAATGGATCCATGAAAAACTATGCATTAACTCAATTACTGTATTGAAAGGAAACACCATTTAAACTGTTGAATTAGGTCTCACTCTTATATTGATGAACAAAAGGGGAAGGACGCTTTTCTCTGGAAGTTCAGAAAATAAAAATAACCACTGAAAGACACAGAGAAAGCTATTTCCTCTGAGCCCAGCATAAAGCAAGGACAAAGTCAGGTAAGCAGCTATTAAAGGATCACTTGAGGGAAAAATGTTTTTTAAATTCTGAAACGAACTCAAACACATTCTAATCTTGTGAAGTCACACATTAAAAGCCTCCCTAAATGATTTTTTTAAGCAGCTTCTGTCTGAAGAATGCACCCTCCCTCCAGTTGAACATAGACCCCTTGAATGAGGCAAAACAGTCACCCAGGGTTAGATCTCATTCATTCAACAAATGCTCTTGGCACATTTGCTCCACCAGACCCTGCACGAGGGGCTAAGAACAGAGCTAAATTAGATGTGATTCCTGCATTCCCAAGGCACACAGTCTAGTGGAAGGAGATGACATTCTGAACCAAATGCTGGGGAAACCCAGAATAACAAGATTGGGCTTCCCTGCATGACAGCCAGGGAGGGCTTTTCATCCTTAAGCCAGACTACTGTCTCGTTTCCCAGTGAATTAGGGAGGGAGACTCCAAGTAGCAGCCCCCATTCCTCCTCCTTAAGACACTGTAGGCTACCTAGCAATTTGTAAGCCAGCTGCCCAGAGTTGGTCATGGCCCCCTCTCCAAGGATGAGGGCTCCCCAGGCAAGCACATGAAAACATGAGCAGAGGACTGAGGACAGTTCTTCTGGAATTAGCCTCCATGGGAGATGGAGCAGAAAGGGCCTTGAAGCAGTTGGAAGAAAGGGAAGGAAAATCTGCTTGGTATAGAGCAGGGGTCAGCAAACTTTTCTGTAAAGGCCAAATACAAGGGAACGTCAAAAAAATGTTGAAAATTGGAATAAATTATGAGTTTATTTGTGCCAAATATTTTTAAAATCCCCACATAGTTGGGTTTTTTTTTTTTAATATTATGTACTTTCCATGAACCTTTTAAGATCTCTCATAATACATATTTTGGGTTTTACAGTCTAATAGTCAAAAGGGAGGCTATTCTATCAAAGAATGTTAGAGGCAACAAATTTCTACAAACTTTTGACTTTACTGATGAAAGTCAAAATATATTAACACATACAATTTTTGAAATTCAAGCCTACTAATCAGAATGAAATTTTTAAAGTGATATTTTGCTTAACTTGGATTCAAAGTTAGTGTTCCTTCTCATCAAATTGATAGAAAATACTCCTCCTTTCAAACCATTCATAGCTAATAGGTCATACAGAAACAGGAGGCGGACCTTATTGACTGACACTTGACATAGTTAAGGTAGCCATGTTGTGGGGAGTTTAGAAGGGCCGGGCAACAATCTCAAATGTCACAGAGAGATAATCAAAGAGGGTTAGATTGGAAAGGCCACTGAGTTTTAAAGAAGGAGCAAGTAACAATAGCAGTTGGTCATCAAAAGAACCACAGGGAGGGAACCAGCAGTTAGCGTAATGGCTATGTCGCTGGACTCCCATGTAGTCGACCGCGGTTTGCGTCTCGGACCCGGTGGCTTAAATCTCATGCTGGGCGCGTGTGCGTGCGTGCCCAAGATCCCAAGAGGAGAACAGAGGAGAAGGGATTGCGGCGTGACCATCCCCCCAGGGGGGTGATTTCTCGCTTTCTGTCTCTCTGTCTCTCTCTGTCTGTCTGGCAAGCGCACGCGCCCTATAGCAAACAAAAAAAAAAAAAAAAAAAAAAAAAGAACCACAGGCAGATGTGGATGTCATACTGAAGGAGTTGGAAGAAGGGAGATCTCCACTTGTCTGAGATATTGACTAGTGCAAGGATTGCAGGGAATCTAGTGGTAATTGGAGGTATCAGCCAAGTTGAACAAAGGCTTCTCTCCAAGATCATGGTGGGCTGTGTCTCTGTGAACATAGATGAGATTGCGAGTCTGGGGAGAGTGGAAACAAATTAGTGTGGGTACATGGGTGAGAGGAGAGCTAGATTCTCATGTCAGTTGTAGTCTTTAGTCAAGTGGACAGTAAGACTTTGAGCTAACAAGGTGGAATAGAAAGAAAAAGAGCTTTGAACAAAACCAGACCTTTTGTCAAATCCTGGCTCTTCTGCTGATTTGTTGTGTGGCCCTTGGGAAGGAGCAGAACTTCTCTGAGGCCATTTTGTCATGTGTGAAACAATGGCAGCAGGAGTTTCCTGCAGAGTTGTCATGAACCTTAGAGATAACATTGGTGAAACCCTGAGAACTATTCAGTAAATGGTGGTTGCTGCTGCTGTCACTGTTATTGTTGTCATTGTCACCTTTTTAAGTTGAAAAGCACAAGTGATCCTGCCCCTACAATCCCCACAGCTCTTCGTCTGTACTTCACTTTTGGCACTTACTCTAGATTGCCAAAAGATAATGGATTTTGCTCCTCCATTGGACTATTAGCTCATTTTCAGTAATAAGCCATTCATCTTTTTATTCACCAAATATTTATTGAGTACCTGCTATGTGTAAGTTGCTGTGCTAGGCCCTTTACAAACATATGCCCTATCCTTGTGCTAAATACATTGTTCTCTTTCAATCTTCCAGAGCACTTTATTTGTAGTGGATACTGAATAAGGAATAGAGTCCATTCATTCATTTAGTTCTTTGGCATACTCATTATTACATGTTGTGTGCCAGGCACTGATCTAGATGCTGGGGTAATATAGCACAGGACAAAACAGACAACAGTCTCTGCCTTCATTGAGGTCACATTCTGCTAGAGGGGAAAGACCAGCAAAAATGTATGGTATGCTAGATGATGGCAAATGTCATGGAGAAGTCATGTCTGATGAGTTTGAGGAACAGCCAGGATGAATGTGGCTGAGAGGTGAGAGGGGACAGTGGGTTGGACAGGCTGGTAGTGGGGAAGGTGGGAGGGAGCATGTGCTGGTGTATATAAGCTCATGTACATGCCATGGAAGTGTGGAGTCAAGGATGAGATTGGCCAACAGACACACATGGAAAGAGAATGGGAAGGGGACCCCTGAGTAGCAGTGAGAGCCAAGATGGGGTTGAAGAGTACACCAAGGTGAATGAGATCTGCATCAGCCCTTGCTTAGCCACAGTTGCACATTCTTAGGCAGATTTTCATTTATTCATTTCATGAATACATGGTGATATGAAGACATGCTCATCAGAACATCAGGTTATAGAGCTTGGCTTTAAAACAGTAACCAAAAACAAACTCACACCCTAGTTCTGTTTGTCTCCTCTCCTGAGGAGTTAAAAGAAAGTAAAGGGCCAGGTGGTAGTACAGTGGCAAAATACAACACTCCGTGAGGCTGACCTACATGGGAAGGTTCCAGGTTTCATTTCTGAAGACCTCCCTGAGTGCACCAGACATGTGCATGCCCATGATCATCTTGGGCTGGCTGGGGTTGGGGGTTACATAGTGGCATCAAGACCCTGTTGGGACTTTCTCTTGGTCTTTCTCTTGGTCTCTCTCTCTCTCTCTCTCTCTCTTTCTCATATGCATGCTCATGGAGAAAATAAACTTTAAAAAAATTAAAGAAACATGGAATGCAAGGGAAATAACACTCCTCAAAAACACTTCAGTGTCACAAAGTAAAAAGGGGCTTTTCAAGATGTATGAAGTAAAAAGGAATGATTTGTTTTCCCTGTGACCTGTGGACATGACTGGAAATCACTGAATCAAATCTTTTCTCTAAGTCAAGAAAAGTAAAGCCCACCAAGGAGGAGGAGCATGCTCAAGGCATCCAACAATTTTTATGGCAAGATCAGGGCTAGAATCCAGGTCTCCTGGGATTCCGGTACTTCTTTCCTGGCCCCCTTTTCAACATATGTGGCACCTGAGTACTTTGTAATTTTCTCCAGAGGTTACAAATGAGAACACAAATCTTTCTAGCCACAGTTTGCCACTGAAGAGTTGATGACCACCATTGAGGAAAAAAGACTAGAAAATAGCATTTGCAACCTGCCTCAATAATAAAAAAAAAAAATCCAGCATTTGCTGCCTTTTTGTTATTAGCTGATCCTCTGTGCCTCAGGCCATTGGCTCAGATATCTCCCCATACCACTGCTGCTTTGAGAATAAATCATTCTATCAAGAAGTAACAAACTGGGGCTAGCAGGTGCCATGGTGGTTAAGGTGCTTGACTCCCACATGGCTGACCATGGTTCAAGTCCTGGACCTGGAGTCTTGCTTTCTCACTTGCCCTCTCTCTTTCTGTGTGTGTGTGTGTGTATGTGTGTGTGTGTGTGTGTGTGTCTGGTGAGCATGTGTTCCCTGTAGCAAATTAAATAATAATGATAATAATCAAATAAATAGTTATTTAAAAAAAATAACAAACTATCTCAGAAATTATAAACATAGGGACCAGCAAGTGGTGTAATGGTTACATTGCTGGACTCCCACATAGTCCACTGCAGTTCAAGTACTGAATCCAGCAGCTTAAAACTCACACTGGGTGTGTGCACATGTGTGCTCAAGATCCCCAAAAGAAAATGTAGGAGAAAGGATTGTGGTGTGACCATCCCCCCCAAAATAGGAGCTCTGAAGATGTCACTTTATAAACCAGCATGCAAGTGAACAAGCAGCAATTAACAGCCTATCTCTGTAGCATCTCTTAAAGAATCCTAAAGGGATATTTAGAATCTGACTTTATCCAGCTTCCCTAATATTGCTCCTTGGGAGGCTTATAGGAATCACACTTTGCTTATTGTGGTAACTGTATTAGGAGCAAGTTGTCATTGTGGTTTCTATGAAACACTTTGGTGATAGACCAGTATTGCATATCAAGTGTTATTCTAACTGCCGACAGCTGTTCTGGCAGCAGGTAGAGAAATTATCCTAGCTCTGACCTGTTTCTTTCTCTGAAACGTCACAATACTTGTTATATATGTACAAAGTCAAGAGTTATATTCATGAGAGATTGATGCCAGGAAAAGATTTGCCCAGCATTCTCAGTATTTTAAAACAAAAGGACCAGTGTGCATGAATCCTCACTGGTTGCTGAAGGTGGCGAGGGTTTTGATATTTACTGTCAGAAAAGGAGAAGAGGGGGCCTTTCTATGGCCTGGCACTGTAGCCCTGTGTAGCTCAATCAGATGAGGTGGGCATGGGTGGTAATAAGCCCTCTCTACACAATAGCCTCTAGAGAAAACTATTATGTTGACAAAAGCTATAGAATGTGCTCTGAGAAAAGTCAGGATGTGGGAACAAGCTCCACTTTAATGAAGCCACTTGAACATTCACCAGGCTAAACCTCAGTCTGGTGAATAGTATGCTGATGAGATCCCAGTGTGGTGAGGGAGGTGTGAAACCCCAATGTTACTCTTCCCTACCTGCTTGACAAGGCCTGTCTCTTGCCATTCCCCAGGAACACTCCATCCCCAGTGTCTCTCAACAACGTCTCTCCCATCAACGCAATGGGGAACTGTAACAACGGCCCTGTCACCATCCCCCAGCGCATTCACCACATGGCCGCCAGCCATGTCAACATCACTAGCAACGTGTTGCGGGGCTATGAACACTGGGACATGGCTGACAAACTGACAAGAGAAAACAAAGGTATGCTTGCCTGCTCTGCCCATCGTGCACAGACCAGGGTGGAGGCAGCTGTGCTTTGAACTACTTAACTTTTACTTGGTGACCTTATAGCTTTCTGCCTCTTTGAATTCCAGAGCTTAAAAAAGGGAAAAAGCTCAGGGCTGACACAGTGACCTATTTTTGCTGTGAGAGTGAAAAATGCCAGGGATTTTATTCTCTCTTAAAGCTTAAACTAATCTGAACTGTGATGTGTTGGCAAATAACTGTTCTGAAATTTCACTCAGTGACAAGAATCAGCAGAGAAACAGAGGCAAAGGCAAACAGAATTATTTGAAAATTAATTAAGGGGCTGTTGGATTCTTACCTTCTTTCTTTTTGAAAAGTAAGGTTGAACTCAGGCCTTCCACCATCATTCTAATCATCAGCTTCAGTTGAGTACTTGGCAATGTGGCTTGCATTTCGAAGCAAGGGCCAAAGTTCAATGAGTATTTTTTACACACTGACAGCTGACATGAAGGATCAGGATCCTATTCACGATAACACATGAGATTTTCCAAGAAACAAATGCAAAGAGGACCCACTTTCACCAGAGTGATGACTCATGCTATCATCTGTGACCCTAGCTGTCATTTAGGCTTACAACAAAGCCTCATTATCCTAATGAAAGTGGGAAGTAAAGATGAACTGCATATTTGCCCTGGCTATTCACTTGACTTGGCTGATTCTGGCCCAGAAGTCACAGTCTGCCCCATTCTACTCAAGGTGGGGACAGATATGGACCATTCAGAATCAGACTGCAAAGTAGTGACCAGTAGTGCAGAGTAGTAGACATTTCACTCAGTAATGAAGAAACTTTAGCACCATTCACAATCCAGGTTGTATGAGGTGGGAGTGGGTGCTGCTAGGTCCTGCAGTTATATGGATTTCCGGGAATCAGGTAGGGGCTGTAGGCCACCTATGAGACTTCCAAAATAAAAAAAGGCCCCCAAGAAGACTTCAAAAAAAAAAAAAAAAAAAAAAAAAAAAACTGGAAAAATGGAATTAAGTTTATTTTGGTGCAAAGAAAATATTGAAATCCATGCATAGCTTTTTCATGATACACATGTTCCACAAACTTTCTGAAGACTCCGCATAGCTGTAGATGGAAGTTCCCTTAGGTTTGACCAAGAAAGACTTACTGGGTTTCCTGGCCCAGGTCTTCTCCCAAACCTGAGTCCTCACAGCCCAAGCAGCTATCTTTTCCTTTCCACTCAGGCCCCAGAGTTCCAGCTTGTTTTTGTTCTCTTAAAAGCTGGACTAGCATACAGCATATTCATGCTGGGAAAATTCATTTCAATGTCATAAAGATATACAGTGATTGAATGTAAAAAAAAAAGAATAAAATAAAACAAAACATTTAAAAAATAAGTAAATAAATTAAATAAAAGCTGCCATTCTAGGGCCAACAGGTTGCATGGGGGTTAAGGGGCTGGATCCCACATGGCCAGCTGTGTGTTTCAAGTCCTGGAGTCAGTAGCTCGAGAATCACGCTGGGTACATGTGTATGCGTGCCCAAAATCCCAAGAGGAGAATGGAGGAGAAGGGACTATGGTGTGACTATCATCCCTTGGGGATGATTTCTCACTTTCTCTCTCTGGCAAGCACACACCCGCTATAGCAAAAACTAAAACAAACAGACAAGCAAACAAAACCTGCCACACTGGTCACTAGAGTGGTTCTCTCTGGTGTTAGATTATGGAATGAGGCTAAGTCCTCCCAGACCTTCCTCCTTGGTACCCATTACCACTATACTTCTGAGTGGTGGAGAAATAGTCCCATTAGAGTAGAAAGAGTGCAGATTTTATAGCTTGGGAATTTATGTCTGAATCCTACCTGGGCTATGCACTACCTGGACGACTTTGTCATGTTACTTTACATCTGTGAGCTAATTCTTAACTTTTTTTTTTTTTTGAGAGGTTTTTGATATAGAGCACGTGCACTCGCCAGAAAGACAAAGAGATAGATAGCAAGAAATCACCCCCAGAGGGGATGGCCATGCCGCAATCCTTTCTCCTCCATTCTCCTCTCGGAATCTTGGGCACGCATGCACACGTACCTGGCGTGGGTTTAAGCTGCCAGGTCCGGGACTCGAACCACGGTCTACTACATGGGAGTCCAGCGACATAGCTATTACGCTAACTGCTGGTCCCGCTAATTCTTAACTTCTGTCTCTATAATAGATATGATGATGATAATGGTGAAACTACCCAGAAGGGTGATACAGATTGGCTGAGAGAAATCATATATATATATATATATA